TTTCATAAAAAACAAGTCTGCTCGTAATAGGGCAAAGTTCCGAATGATTTAACTACTTTTTAACGTTTGTGGACTTGTGTTTGTTTGAAAAAAAAAATTTTTTTTTGCTTCTTTTCTTTTGAAAATCGTCACCCCATACGCTGTGTAAAAAAGTGATAAAGTAGCATATGCAAAGTAATAAACAGACCTAATAGCATGCTTCAGTTCATTTTAGAACGGTTGCTGAGAAGAGGAAAAATCTCCACTTACGCGTTAATAACACGAAATGTTTTGAGCTATATTTAACCCAAGTTGGCTAAAATGGCAGTTTTAAACCCTCATAACATTAGATAAAAGATGAAAAGTAGAAAAATATTTTAAGTTTGAGCCCAGTAAAACAATGTATTTTGAATGATAAAAATGTCATGAATGGCTAGTTAAAATGTTCAAAAGTGTCTTGAGAAAAAACACAAAGCACAATTACTCCGTCACTTTCTTCAAAAGTCGGAACAATAAAGATAATTTCTTTAGGTTACTTTACTTTGTGGGATTAATTTATGAAAAAATTCTGAAGCCTTGTAAATTCTATTGATTTTATGACCAGTTAGAATGATAAACATTTCACCACATTTTACTTGGTCATTGAAACCCCGATGTCAGTAGCTGCGTAAAATAATATCAAGAATAAAATGCTTTAGCGCCATTCAGATGTTAAAAAAAATCTCTGAAATTGTTTTCTGATGTGGCGTGTTTCATTTTCTTAACCCACAATCATACAGGTTGACGCAATTCATTTTCGTCTTATCTTATTTGGATTATTATGTCGCATAAGCGTTAACGACAACAAAGTCGTTGAGCTGGTGCTAAAAATAAAGTTCAAACTCTATGATTTATAAGTCTCAGAAAGATCTGGATAAAAACAAAGATAGCAACAAAAAACCTCAGAACAAACATTATTTAAAAGTTGCAATAAAAATTGAAAGGATTGAATTCCCGATTAAATAAGATTTTTTTCAATTTTTCAATTCAGATGTTTTTCGATTTGATAAGCTTGAAATATGCTCAACAAACAGTTGGGAGGTCAAAGAACCCACAGAAAAAGAAAAAACAGACCTTTGAAAAAAATTTGATTTTTCAATTAAAATTGAAATAGTTTTTAAGCTCACTTTTTTCAAGAACAGTTTTTTTTATAGAACTAACCCAGTTTAAGAAAATGGAACTAATAGGCAAATTATGTATCCTGCTGGGAATCTGGAAATTAAACATTCGCTCCCGAAATTAGAAGTCCATCACGTTTGTTGTGACATTTACATTTTTGCTTTTTAATAGTGGAGTTTGCGATCCTTTCGACAAAAAAAAACTAAATTTTTCTTAAGAAATCAAAAATCAGACAAACCAAACGAGCAAAAACGTCATCAAGACATATATAAGAGTCTTCCCACCACTCACACGCCAGCCAGTTGGAGTGCAGGAGTACAATGTGCAAAGACTAATATTTAGCAACAACCTACTCAGACCGAGTAGTTTATCTCAATAAATTGTAACAATATCTGAGCTGGATTGAATTGCCGCCTACTTGCTAGTAATAATTATTATAATGCGCGTTAATTGTTCCAAATGGCACTTTTCAAACATCCAGAACTTTTGAAACCGAGATCACAGTTGATCTTTTTATTAGAGCTCAGGACGTCGATATCTTTCAGATGAAACAGAAATCCCCTTCAAAACGGGGCTATGTAAAAATAAGAAATTTAATCTGAAGAAAAAAAAATCCAACCTGCGCGTTTTTTTATCTCTTTTTCGAAAACAGCGATCTGCAAAAAGAAAATTTAATGCCATCTTCTCTGTTGTTTACCTTTCATGTGCTTATTGTAGGAATTGGTTATTGTCCAATTAATTTGAACAATCAAATTAGTTAAAATGATATGATTATATTTGATTTATTCTATATTTTGATCAAAAACTAGCAAGAAATTTCTCTCTCAGTTTTTTTTAGCAAAATTCAAAATCCACTGTGTTTTTTTGCACTCTTTGTAGATTTAAAATTATTTTACTATTTAATAGAATCCTCAAAAAAAAAATAGAGTTGATCCGCATTTTTCCGCTGAAAAACAAAACATAATCCATATGAATGCGCCTTGAAAAAATTTAAACAATTCAAACAAAAATAATGATTTTTTTTATAAAACTTAAATTTTGATGTAAAAATAACGAGGAAGTTTTTTTGGCACTCGTTGTAGATCTAAAAGAACTCCACTCTTCAAGCAGATCATTTTCAACAAAATGATGAAGCTTGGTCCGTTCTTTTTGCCGATATACAAAATGACCATGCATCTGACTACTCTATGTAATTTAGGTCTATATAGTCTCTGTAGAGTGATTTTTGTAAACAACACTTAATTGAAAATTAAGAAAAATCTTAAAATTGTTCTAGTCACATGAACAACATCATTTTTCAACCTAAATCAGTTTAAAAGTAAAGAAGTTATTTTTTCGCATTCTCTGTAGGTGTACAAGTTGGCCAAAATGTTGTGATTGACGTTTTTTAAACTGGTCACAAATTTTGCTATATTTCAAGATAAAATTAATTTGAGTCTGTCCTATTTATTCATTCGTTTGAATTAGTTAGAGTGATGTTTTTTGTGAGAAACTAAAAAAAGAGTAATTGAATTAGATTTTTCTACTAGCAATAAAATATCTTTGTTAATTCTACATATGGATTCGAAAGCATCAAAGAATTTTTATTATTGTCTTTTTTGTAGATCAAAACAAAAAAATGCTTTTTAATTGGATTATGGTAAACTAAATTTTGAGATCTAGAGCAATTGGTCATTCTGCTTTTGCTGACATTATTTATTAAATTTCAGAAATTTCAGAGCTGTGGGCGTTTGAAGTGACAAATACAAATATGTTCGCGATGTTTAAAACTGTTTTGAAAGGTTCGGTCTGCACATAAACATTTTAATAAAAACAATTTGTGCTTAATTACAAATTTGTCAACTATTCCAGAATAGTATCATTGTCCTAAAAGTTAAATGTTCCTTTAATTAATTGGCTAGAGGTTCAGCAATGTTGCACTGTTTTTAGGTTGATGAGTCTTATGAAGAATCGATAATAATTCAAAAATCTCTAATAGTCGATTTTGACCACCTACAATAAGACTTACTTTTTTTTCCTTAGGGACAATAGAAAAAAGCAAGTCTTTTTTATAGGGGACAATCGATGGAGGCAATTTTTGTGATTTTCAGCTCCCAAAAATGCTCACGATTCTAAATTAGCTAATGTTCGTAAATTTTCATAACCAAATAATTATGCGAATTTGTCATGTAAAATATCCAATGGAAATGAAAAAAAAACTGACACGCGACGACAACAGTGGGACAAAATAAATGCAATGAATAAGGATTCGACTTGACTTTCCCGCAAGTATTAAACAGTTTCCTCGCTTTTTTGATCAGTGGAAGATTTCATTAGTCAATGAAATCCAGGAGATAATTTTCATTTAAGCCTTGGCTGACCTGCTTTCAAAAAACTGCGTAGTCTGCAATTTTATACACTGAGTGAATAAAAATTGCTCATCATACAAAATTGCTGCACATTTTTGAAGCATTTTCAAATTTTTTCACATTTGTTATGGTCTATTTGATGATTTTGAAATATTTTAAATTGCAAACCATTGTATAAAAATTGCTCGTCACAAACTTTCTGAATTGTGTAAGAATTTTATAACGATTGTATTCAGATTTCTTGTCGTGTTTTCTCAATCAATTGTGCAAAAGTCTCTCAATTTTTGAAAACTCTCCACTTCACAATGAGATCCCAATTCTAGCACCTGCATTTTAAACAGAGTTTATATTTTAACCGAACCAATTTTTGAATTTAAAATTTTTTTGGTTAACCGGAAAGTATTTATTATGATGAAGTATCAATTGCTCTAAATTTTTTCATTTAACTAGTTCCAATTCTATCTTTAATTTAGCAAATTAATTAACGCCAAAAAACTTCCTTGAGCTTTCTTCTTGAATTAAATTTTACCCGGAATATTTTCCAAAATGTGTTAAAATGTTTTCAAAATGCAAACCTACGTGAAGTTTTTGCTGTGATAATTTTTTTCGTAAAAATTTTGAATAAAAACTGTGTCAAAAATTGTTGTTTTGAGATCTTTTGTTTCTGAATTTTGTTTTCAAAAATCTCAGTCAACGGTAGTTTTGTGTTTTTTTCCGAATTTTTCGCCTGGCCAAATTTTATTGAACAATTTCCGACGGGATTTTTTTAACCCTTGAAAAAATTTTGCTGCCATTAGCTCAAAAAAAAAAAAAATTTGTTAGCTGTGATTATTTTTTATGATGTTTTAAAAATTGCAAGTTTGAGAAATTTGGGATGGATAATGCGCGTACTATTTAGTGCTAATAACTTTTAAGCGGCGATAAGCGGCTGAGAATTAGTTCAAAATTGAGTTGAGGGAGGCTGTTTGTTCTAGTTATTAGGCTGATTCTTGCTAAATTTTTCACTTCTTATTTCAAATAGCGTTTGCGAATGATTGTCAAAAAATCCGAAGTTTTTGTTTTGATTTTGTCAATCTTCTTGAGCAAATTTCATCAAATTTTTTATTTTATCGAACACTATTCCATGTATATCTAAGAGCCATTGGGACATTCATGGCGTCGTCCTGATATGAGCAGCCTTCTTGTTTTTAACTTTCACGAAATGTGTCAGTTACCAAATTTCAGAAAAATATTGCTCAAACAATTATCTCAACGTTTTCGATTATGATAATTTATAATTCCTGAATCTTACAAATATCATTTTCTGAGCAATTTGATTTTTTTTGCAATTTTAGTTATTTCGGCCACTTTGTGAGTACAGGCTTTATCAAACTAATATTTGACGAGCAGATTTTTTTTAAAGGTTTAAGTTTTGAAATTTGATTCAAAATTTCTTCGATTGATCACAAAAGCACTAATTATATACGCAAATCTTCTGCTTCTTGTTGATGTTCATCAGAAAATTATTGTCTAAGTTCTATTGTTCATTACAATTTTGTACCCAATATAGCTATTTTTATAAAAATGCAGAAAGTGGTAAAATAACAGAAGTACTCTCGGAATATTGTCAAATCTATTTATTCACAGGGGTTACAATATAGCTGATGTCTTAAAGTCTGAAAACCATTTTCATTCCTCGTCTTCGTCTTCATAATCTTGCTTTTTTTGCCACTTGGCGCTGAAATCTTCAACGTCAAACTCACAAAGTGCATCGCCGGGTATGTCACAGTTCTGCAACACAAAAGGGGGACTGCCTCGCTTCAAGTTAACACAGCCACTTTGTGCAGTGAAGTTCGAAATAACCAAACTGTCCGCGACTGTAGCCTCATTCGTGTCTCCGTCCTCGTCAACCCAAGTCAATTTCCCGTCGCCATAGAAGTCGTGTGCGGCTATGTACCCACGAATGGAGATGTCGTCGTTTTTCGTTAGGAACTCTAGTTCGGTTTGGTCGTTGATGACAACCATGTTCATGTCTTCAGTTCCGCATCTTACCATCGCTTCTTTCCAGTTCCGGTTGGCTCTTTCAGACAAGTCGCAGTAGCAGTGTTTGTTTGTTATGCAGTCGAGGGCGTTGCAGGTCGAACTGAGATGTTGAATTAAACTAAGAAAAAAAATCTGATTTACGAAAAATAATTTATTGATTATAAATGAAACAGTTTGCTAAAAACTTTTTGTTTTTGTGTCATTAAAAAAAACAGAAAACTATATTTTAAGGTCGACCAAATATCAATTAGTTTTTTTTGAATTTTAAAGGTCTTAACTAAAAAAATTGCCCCCCCCCCCCCCCCAAAGTTTATTGTGCAGTGATGGCAAAGGTGCCTTTAAAAAACTTTATGACTACTTGGTTAAAATTGAAAGTTGAACAATAGAGATGAACCATTTGGGTAGTGAAAAAGTTGAAAGTTGAAATCCCCTTAAAATACACTACAAACCGTTGTTATTTTAGTTTTCTGAACCTCGATGCACCAAACTTCCGAAATATAAGCGTCATCAAATTTGACCCGGAATATTAAAATTGTCGCAGATCAAATAAAACAAATCAAAACAAATCTTACGCGAGTGATATCTGTTTGTCCTCAGCTGCCTTTGCCGCTTTGAGTGCGTGTGTTTTGATCTGACAGACAGAGGACTGGAAGTCCATGCAGTCCCTAGGATGAATCGTCTCCTGCCAGTACCACTTGGACGTCACTGAGGATCCCAGAGAGTAGCACTTGGTGCCCTGGTCCATCTGGGTCCCAAAGTCCAGGTCCTGCACACAATAGAAAAATAATTGTGGCAATTTAATTTTTTCAGCGTCCTTGTCAGCCGAAATGACAATTGTGGAAAGTTTTTTTTTTCGTTGCAACCACGTCGCTGAAAGTGACTGGAAGGAACTATCTCGTAAGGTCTGTTTTTTTTCAGTCAGTTTTTCCATGCGAGGTAAGCTTTTAAAATCCTTTCTTTTGATCATGATTGTTATTCTATAAAACTCAAATAACGGCTCAGTGTCGAGAAAACCTGGTTCGATTCTTTTCTATGTAAAAATTTTGTCTAAAGGTATCACTGATGATTCATTTATTTGATGGCTTGCTTTAGAAATACTTAAGCGCACAGTTGCTCTAAGCGCACAGTTGCTCTAGAGTGCATGAGGTCGAAAGTTAGAATTTGGTCAGCACCTGTTTTTTGCAAAGTTCTAATTTTCGGCTTGAAAAAATTATCGTAGGCATATCGTTTGTTTTCTATTTTTTTTGCCGGCGTAGTTGTTTCAGCACGAGTTATTTTGGTTATTTCATCAATTTTCAGTACCTTTTCACTCCGTTTCATGAATTCTTGTAACGGTGCTGGTAATTGGAATTCAAAAAAAGTTGCTGATTTTCAGTCAATTTTTCAAGACTGACATTGGCATTTTTGTTCAAACAGTTTGAAAAATGGGGAAGAAGTTTGTATTCGGGTGTGTCTTAGTTTTATTTTTCTTTCTTTTTATTTGTTTTTGTTTCTAGGCAAAATAAGCTACCACAAATAATCATCGGAAAGATTTGAACGACAGTCGGGATTTGAACGACGTTACACAATCTCAGAAAAGTTTAACCAATGACGAGCGAGTGAAGCGAACGAGCAGGCTTATTTATGCTTAATTTAGGCCATTCATAGTAGCCTAATTACACTTAATTTTTTTTAGTCAAGAAAATTTAGTTTTTGGAGATTTCTGCCATTTCGAGGATCAAAAAACTCAAAAACTCAAAAAATTCCAGCAAAACAAATTTGAAATTTTTTTTAGTCATCTTTCTTCAAAAACTGTTGTCCTGTTTGACTATTTTACTACCCGCCTTGACAAAAATGTATTAGGATCAGTTATAGTATGAACAAAGTATGTTGAATACTTAACTAATTTAGATCGATTTCAGTTTGAAAAAGTACGAAGATTAAATAAAAAAAGATAAAGATTGATTTGAATCGATTTAAAATCAATTTAAATTGGTCTTAAATCCCAGCTACAAAAATTGATCCAAAATGATTTTAAATCGATTTAAACCAATTTTTTCCAGTCTTATTTTTTTTTCAGGGAATTAAAACGGATTTAAATCGTTTTAAATCAAATTTTTCATTTGAGTTTCTTCAATTTCGAACTTTTATTGCATTTATTTATTGCCTATCCTTTTTCATTATACACCTAGAGCGTATTGTAACATAAAAAACCAAAAAAAGACCAAAATATTGATAAAATGGCTCTTTTTCCTTTCCCCCCACCTCCCATAAGCATCAATTTTATTGTGCAACGAGGGGTTTAACAAGGTTAATCATGAAGACCAAATATGTTTGTCATGACCTAATTAGTTCGCATGCCAATTTTTGTATCATTCAAATGACGTGAACGAAATTTCACTAGTAAATTTTTTCAGGTGGGGGAAAAGGAAAAAAAGCCGATATAGCTCTTACTTTTACTGGCATATTTTGAGTTCAAAAACTGATCTCGATTGACCCTTTTACTCCGTTTCATAAGTTTTTGCTCAAACTCCGTTTACATTCATGATTTTCTATGATTTGATTGCATGCTATTGAGATCAAAATTTAATTTTTTCGGACCCTTTTCTTGTATATTACACAAGATTTTGCCCAAAATCTGATTTAAAATGGCTTTCTATGATTTCATTGCATGTTTTTGAGCTTGAAATCTGATTTAAGTGGCTCATTTTACTGAATTCATAACATCTGGCACGTGTGTTTCTCACCTAAATAATCGAGAATTCAAAATTTCAAAATTTTTTGATGAGTAGGTTTTTTTGCCGTGTTGGCAAAAAAATTGATTTTAGTGAGTCTAAAAATCCATCCAAATCGATTTAAATTGATTTTTAAGATACTTAAACCGGTCTAAAACTTTCAAGAAGAATCGATTTAAATTGATTCAAAATGGATTTAAATAAGATTCGTATGGATTTAAGTGAGTTTCGGATGCATTTCAGTGAATCGGAAAATGCATTCAAATCGATTTAAATCGATTTTTTATACACTTAAATTGATCTAAGGTTTCCAAAAAAGATCAGTTTAAATCGATATAAAATCCATTTAAGTTTGTAGAAAGTACATTGTTAATCAATTTGGATCGATTTTAAATCGATCCAAATCAGTTTAAAAAAATTCGGTACTGTTTATGTCAGTGCGGGTATGACTGTCGAATATGCCGAAACTATAGCTTTACATCAGATCCTTTTATCACACCCCGCAGAAAACTCTACACTAATTTGAGAACAAAATTTCTCAGATTTTTACAGATTTGATCGGATTATTCTGTGTTACTTCACAGTAACCAGCTTCCTTGTTTTGTATTGCAATGATTTGACGACTCGCAAGTGTTAAATTTTTCTTTTCTGTGAATTACTTTTTTCTATTAGCTTGTAATGTTTTGTGCTTAAGCAACCGACTATGTGTTTATTTCAAAAACGTTTGGATCAACAGAAGGAAAGTTGTCAGAGATAGATACTTAGTTCAAAGCTAGTAAAGTTCTCTCTTTTAAAGGCTGGCCATTTTTAACAGAAAGTTGAAATGACGAGCAACATGTGGAAGAAGTGGTAAAAGTTTAATTTTTTTTTAAATTCTTACTTCTCAAAAAACAAAGTCTGACTGACAATCTTTTAGCATGTAGAGTGTTCATAGAGAAAACGTTTAATGTAATGCAAGGAACCAGTGCACAGTTCATTAGGGTTTGTCTCAACTGGTAACAATTAATTCGGCTCTTCCCCCCCCCCCCCCCCCCCCCCCTCCCCCTCACATTTCAAATATTTCATTTTTTTTCAATTTTATTATGGCTGAACGCGTGTTTCTACGAAGTAATGAAGAAGAAAAAAAGGTGCTCGAAAGGTGGAAAAGAGCACTTTATTCTTAAAAAAATATTGGTTTCTTATAAGACTGCCCTATTCCCCCGTAACGCACTAATTTCAGCCGAACTTTAGCAATCCTCGTACCTGATTGGTGCAAGCATATTTCTCCCACTTGTACTCTGACCCCCCGTCCAGCGTTTTGCCCCCTATCCAGGCCATGACGTCATTGTACTTCTTGAAGAAGCCCAGCTGAGCCACCGATCTCTGCTCAGATACACTCTCAAAAGAGACCAGGTAGCAGTTCTTCGAAGTGGCGCTGCAGTTTTTGGCCGCTGAGGCTTGATCCAGAAACTTGAATTTGGACAGCACGTACCAACTTCCATACCGACTGCTGAAAATCAATGGAATTAAAGGTTAGCAAAATTAGCAGGTGGTTTGTTGGCAAATAGCACAGCTTTTTAAACCTCTGTTGTCCATCAAAAACAAATAAAAACAAAATCGAACGTAGTTGCTCATTTCGCTTTTTAAGGTGATGCGGAACCTGCTTTAATTCAGCCTACCTCTAAAGCTGAATTTTGAAATCGAATGATTTGTTAATTCTGTTATGGTGTCATGCAAGTTACTTTTATCGTCTCTGCATATTTACCATAAAAAGCCAAAAACAAATCAGAAAGCAAAAATTGCAAAAGTGGACTCAAAATTTTTTCTCAAACAAAAGTTTTTCAAAATACTGGAATGCAGCTCGAAACCAAAGTTGAAATAATACTTCAAGCTAACTTAGCGAGTTTGATTTATGTCAAAAAATTTACCTGATACCAACTTTATTCTTTATTCACTGGTGATTTTTTTCTTTCTATTCCGGACACTTCTAGTTATAGAAAAAATTACACGCTAACCTTAGTGAAACTTTTATCGGACTGGTCATTTTTTCCAAATTCACATCGCCACTGACAAGAAATAACAAGAGTTTGCCCTTAATGAGATCATTTAGAGATTTATAAAGAAAAGGGATGTAGATTGAGTCCGATCATAAGAAACTAATTCAGTTTTCGCATCATCTATAGTTCAGTTTCAATCAATTTTAAACCGTCTAAAATTCACCTTCTCTCAATTTTTTGTATATTGAAAAATACTTACTTAATGAAACTTCAAATTTCGTTTTTGTTGAAACTTAGTAGTAGAAATGTTAGAATTGCTTGAAATGTTTTTTAGAAAAAGAGTAGTAAGTATCGATTTTTTTTTCTAGTTGTTTCAGGTATGCGTTCTCTAGAAAAAGGGTAGTTAGTATCGATTTTTTTCTAGTTGTTTCAGGTATACGTGCAGGTAGCCTTTGAAGCGCGAAAAAACCTAATAGTTCGGTAACAGATGAAAACTTTTGAAGGGATTTTTTTTCAAGGTATATCATCAGTCTACATCAGTCTACAAAGAGAAAAAAACATCCTTTCTGAGGCATTTTGGTTTGTGTCGTTTGAAATTTAATCATTTGAGAACTCCAAAACTAACTGTTTAAAGCAAAATTTAATAGCAGGAGCAAGTTAGTCGAATCATCAATTTTATTGAGTTTCGAAAAATTGAAAAGTAAAACAAAGCTTTGTCTTTTCTAAACCGTCAACGATTTTGGTCTCCAAAAATCAGCTTCTATAAGCCTAGCAAATCGTGCTCGAAACTTTTTCCGTCAGAGTCATTTTTATTATCACAGACTCTCTAAAAGTCCCAATTTTTTTGTTAGTTCAAAAAATTTGTTTTCTATAAACAAGTAAAATTTGTTGGTTAATTTAGGATGAAAAATCCCTCATGGATTCTTAAGTTTGACATCGAGCTACCCCATGAAAAACTAAGTTTTTCGAAAAAAATTGCTACTATTTTCCATTTTGGGTCAGACTTTCTGTCTTTTAACTCAAATTTTCAGGCAGCATTTCGATTTACGTTTGAGAAAGTAATGAGCGTAATTTTACATTACACACAATTATTTTATTTGTGTGTGGATTCCAGATACTTTCCAGGTTCCGCAAATGTTGTTGGGGATTTCGCAACATTGGCTATTTGTGGATTAATTTTGAGCAATACAGTAGTTTTTTCAGTTTTGTTTGTTTGTAGAATCACAAACAGTAGAGAAGATTAAAAAAATCAAAGTCGCGGATTTTGCAACAGAACTATTTTGGGGCTGTTCTGGAATCGCTTACAACTCAAAAAATGCACAGTTTGCCTCGTAGCTAAATCGATTAAGACAACTTGGCTAATGAAATCCTGGATTTCTAATTATACTGTTTTTGAGAATTGAAACATTAATGATTTGCTGTACAGAAATAATACTGTATTTCTCTTTACAAGCGCTTTAGAGCTGATGATTTTTTATAAAATGGTAGAAAATCTGCACATTTTTTAAAACTACTTGTAGCATTAGATTTCAGCAGTGCGGACCGTAACTAGACAGTCGAACTAAAAATTTTTGGCCACCAATGAGTTTATTTAATAGAATTTTTTTCTTCGTTACTTTTTGAAAATTTTTTGAAGTCTGGAATGATATTATTCTATTATTCGATTGAATTTGTTTCTGTTATCAGTTTCTAGAAACCAACAAAGTCCTTACATTTTAACCTCAATTAATTTAACACAAAAACGTTTCGAAACTTACTTTTTGTTTCCTTAGCAATTAAAAATAATTACATTTTAAGGCCGCCATTATTTAAGATTGACACCGTTTTAATCCAGACTGAAAAAAAAATTTATTTCAAAGTGGATTTCGGCAAAAAAAACAGACAAGACTGATCATATTATGGCAAAGGCCTGAATGTTCTGACTGCCTTTTAAAGTCTACGAAGCATTGATAATGCGAAAAAAAATAACTGTAAAAAAAAGAAAAACAATTAAATGAGTCTTTTTTAAATTTGAAATTTTTTTGTGAAATCATCCCCTCACACGCCATATAAAGAACAAAGTGATAAGATTTGTTCCTAGTAAAAAATCAATAATAGCAAATATGCTTTCTTCAACCAGTTTGCAAAAACTTTTAGGACGGATATCGAGCAAAATATATCGAGCGTTAATTGTCCCAAATTGGTCAAAAATCCAATCTTTAATTCCCCATACCTTTACGGAAAAAGATCAAAGGTAAAGTATCTTTTCAAAATTAAGGTCAGGAGTACAATACCTTTTGAATGATTTTCAAAAATTCCGTCAGAAAGTCTAGTTAAGAAGTCGAAATTTGTCTGAAGAAAGAACCCACCCTGTGCTCAAATATTCCCCTAGTTTTGTTAGGAAAGTTGGAACAAAAAACTTTTGCCTTTTAAAGACAGACATGTTTGCGCTACCTTACTCACAAAAGTTATGATCGGAATTGACCTTGCCAATAGTTGAGACTGCGTCATTTTTAATGTGATGCGTGTGTTAAGTGCACAGTTATTTTTAGTGTGATAGGAGTTAAGATACAGAGTTTATACATTATTTTTGGTGTTAAACTATAAAATTGGAATTCAATAGTAAGGAAATTAAAATGTTTAGTAGTAAAATGACTAGTTAGTAAAATGTATCAGCAAGGAACCAAATGAATCAGTTCAACTGGATTTTTGGGGGCCCATTAACTACTTAAATGAATCCCGGAAATGTGTTAGTGGCGGTTGATCGGTTTTCTCGTTGGCCCTCGGCAGTGGTCTGTGGAAATAATCAATCTGATAAAATACTGAAGTATTTGAAAAGCTATATAGCAAATCATGAAGTGCCAAGGAAAATTCACGTAGATCAGGGTACGAGTTTTATGTCGAATGAGATTAAAACGTTCTGTAATGGGGAGGGCATTAAAATAATAAATTCACCTGTTAATGATCACCGGGCAACTGGATGCGTGGAGCGCACCATAGGTAGTCTTAAAAATTCCATTCTTAAGACTTACTTAGGACTTAGTTTTTGTTTCCTTAGCAATTAAAAATAATTAAATTTTAAGGCCGCCATTATTTAAGATTGACACCGTTTTAATCCAGACTGAAATTTTTTTTTATTTCAATGTGGATTTCGGCAAAAAAAAACAGACAAGACTGATCATATTATGACAAAGGCCTTTTAAAGTCTATGAAGCAGTGATAATGCGAAAAAAATAAGTGTAATAAAAAAAAAGAAAAACAATTAAATGAGTTTTTTTTAAAATTGATTTTTTTTTGTGAAATCATCCCCTCACACGCCATATAAAGAACAAAGTGATAAGATTTATTCCTAGTAAAAAATCAATTATAGCAAATATGCTTTCTTCAACCAGTTTGCAAAAATGTTTAGGACGGATATCGAGCAAAATATATCGAGCGTTAATTGTCCCAAATTGGTCAAAAATCCAATCTTTAATTCCCCATACCTTTACGGAAAAAGATCAAAGGTGAAGTATCTTTTCAAAATTAAGGTCAGGAGAACAATACCTTTTGAATGATTTTCAAAAATTCCGTCAGAAAGTCTAGTTAAGAAGTCGAAATTTGTCTGAAGAAAGAACCCACCCTGTGCTCAAATATTCCCCTAGTTTTGTTAGGAAAGTTGGAACAAAAAACTTTTGCCTTTTAAAGACAGACATGTTTGCGCTACCTTACTCACAAAAGTTATGATCGGAATTGACCTTGCCAATAGTTGAGACTGCGTCATTTTTAATGTGATGCGTGTGTTAAGTGCACAGTTATTTTTAGTGTGATAGGAGTTAAGATACAGAGTTTATACATTATTTTTGGTGTTAAACTATAAAATTGGAATTCAATAGTAAGGAATTTAAATTGTTTAGTAGTAAAATGACTAGTTAGTAAAATGTACACAGTTAAATTAGTTGCTACTAAATTGTAGGTATCATTAATTTACCTCGTATATTAACAATTAAAAAATGAATTTCACATTCCAAGTCATCATAATCGATTTTGTTTTTGGATATAATGAATTTGAACACTTTTAAAAAAAAGTTCGGAGTGCTTTTTTCATATGTTTATAATATATATAAACTTGCATTAGATATTTTTGTTTTGCTCAATTTTAGGATTTTTTGCACGGTTTTTGCTTTGTAAACTCAGATGCTTTTATAATTTATGTTTTTTTTTGCACTTTTTCCCACAGCGAATAGCTAGAAAGAGTTTAATGATCATAAATCAGTTTCAATAAAATCAAGTGGCTTGCAAGTCTTGTATTTTTGCTGAATTATAGTGTAGCAAAGTTTTTAACTATCAGATTTTTTGCTGAAAAGTAATTTGATGTTGCAGAGAATTTAAAAATTGAAAGTGATTGATGACAAATATGTGTGATTTTTGTTTAAAAGAATTAATGGTCTAAATTTGCAATAAAACAAACTAAGACCGTCGAACGAACACTATAGTCGAACAAAGTCGAATCATGGGTCGAACAGGGTCGAATCACGAGTCGAACATGGTCGAT